TTTCTTATTTAAGTTTCAAGGAAATCAGCTGTTTTTAATGGAGGAGGCTTCGTGTATTACATTGTATCCCTCTTTGCACTTTCAATCTGATTAAACTATAGATCTCTGATTTCGTTATCGTATATGTACGAGCACGCGAGTTAAAAATATAGATATGCATTTTAATTTAAATAGATTGTTTGCACATGTGTTAGAAATGCTTGAGTGTTTATAAAATGAGAAGATTTGATATGAGTGCCAATGAGACAACTCTCCACCAGAGGCCAAATGACATAGAAGTTAAAAACTATAGATCACCGTACGACCTTCAACAATGAGCAAAACCCGTACCGCATAGTCGGCTACAAAAAGACCCCGAAATGAAAAATGTAAAACAATTGAAACGAGAAAACTAACGGCCTGATTTATGTACAAAACAATGAACGATATACAAATATGATATACAGCAACAAACGACAACCACTGAATTACAGGCTCCTGACTTGCGACAGACACATACAAAATGTGGCGGGGATAACCTAGTTTGCTTTTGCCAAACCCTCCCCCCTAACCTGGGGCAGTGGTGTAACAGTACAACCTAAGAACAAACTATAAGAATCCGTTGAAAAGGGCTCAACTCATCAGATCGATACAAAGCAGAAAAAACATCTAACAAAAACACAGACCGCACGTTCCAGGGTATTTATACATCCCAAAAACAAAAAAGACAAAGATGTAATCTTGAATAATGATGAGTAGAAGAACATTACAAAGAAAATTAAATCAATTGAAATTGTACCGAAGTAAATTAAAACCCTACCCTGTTAATGTAGCCGAGTTTTATATACTTCAAAAGTAAGCGATCGTTTGAGCCTTTGTAAGGTTAGTTAGATCCAAACAAGCTATGCTCATGAGATAAATGAACAAGATAAAGTTTTTTTTAATTTTTATTATTATTACTATTATGTATTTTACATTCAAATTGCTACCGTGGAAAAAAGATCCTTTACTAGACTGAAATGTATAACCCCTTGATTTTCTGTCGAAGAATCTTTATCGTATTTTGAGATTTCAAAATAACGCTTTCTTACATCAAAATTCAAAATTTGTCATTTTAAATAATTCATTTTAAAGCCGTAAGATCATTTTGTCTATTTGACTTTTATTTTTTTGTTTTGTTTTGCGGATCTCTGCTTTGCCACATTCCGTTAATCAAAATTTTCAAAATCCTGTCCGTTCCATTGAAAATTGCTCATTACCAAATATCTATTTTCATGTTAAATTTATATAATTTTCTGATATACAATTATTCTTTATTTGTGAATAAATGCGACACAAGTATTCCTTTATTTATAAGTATCTTAATTATAATGACTTGGTACTTATATTAACTAAATCACAACCAAATTTTACTGGTACACTGGCATGCAAATGAAATATTTACAAAATACTACGATTCATATTATAAAAAAAAATTTGAAATGTAAATTCAATAAAGTCATAAAATAAACAAATCTTAATGAATTATAATAAAAATCAAAATGTCTGTCTTATTTCGCAAAATTTTGCGTCATTTTGCAAAGGTTTGGGTTATGACACAAACATAGGAAGAAATATTTTAAAATAAAAAATTAAAAAGAATGTGTCCGAGGACAAAAATGCCCCCATTCAAGCTACAAACAAACGAAAATGGGACGGACGGACGGCCGAAAAGACGGCAAGACGGATTGACGGACGGTCAAGGGTAACACTTAATGCCCCCAACCCCCGTTGACTACGGCTGGGGCATAACAATATGTGTGGCGTTAATACATAGTACATTCATGTGAGTTTTACTCTTGATTACTTTACAATTCCATGTCTCTCTTGATAGAGTTAATAACTCTATACTTTGGTTAATTTATGGTACTTGAAACAAAAGTTTAAATAGTTATAATAAAGACTGTATGGATATTATAAATAATAATGTGATAGCTAAATATAAAGAAATATGTGATGATGAATGGATAAAGTCTTCGATGGTTATGATAGTGATGGTTGGCTGTTTGACGTTCAGCCGCAAATTATAGTCTATGAAATCTGCATATCACCTTCATCTCTTTGTTAATTACCAAACAAGCTAAATAATTCTTTCAAATTTTACTTGATTATACATGGCTTAAATTCCCCATAAACGTGTTCAGTTATCTTTTGTTATGTGTTATTTAACTAGGGATATTGTAGCACTTCTAACTGAAACATCAACTTCCTTAGTTAAGTTACTGATTCAGTCTATGCTCTATCGAATATACATTCTATTGTAAATTTGTAATGAATACTGATTGTCTGCGAGAATTCCAATATTAAATAACTATGGCATTTAAATGTAATACTTGTTACAATTCGCCGAATCTTAATGCATTCTGGGTAATATTTGTAAAAGTGTACATGAAAAGTAATTGTTGTGAATGGCTGATAAAATCTGAAACAGTCAAAATTCGCTCGATGATGTAATAACATTTTATTGTGTTATCGATTTATTTTATTGATATTAGTTTAAACAATTAAATTACCCATAGGCCCTAATTTTGCCTTCCTGAGGTTTTGCAAGGCTAGTTAAATGCATGTAAACCAATTACACTACATTTGGAAGGACATGCCATCAAATGTCCAATATCTGATTTAATACCAACTTTTCAAAAGTGTCAGCTTTGCCATTCACTCTCACGGGAAGAATGAACACGTTTGAATTTACTGTGCTTGTTTGACAGTTGTTTTATTGAGCTTGGTAACCATTAACTAGAGGCTCTAAAGAGCCTGTGTCGCTCACCTTGGTCTATGTGCATATTAAACAATGGACACAGATGGATTCATGACAAAATTGTGTTTTGGTAATGGTGATGTGTTTGTAGATCTTACTTTACTGAACATTCTTGCTCCTTACTATTATCTCTATCTATAATGAACTTGGCCCAGTAGTTACAGTGGAAAATATTTTGTAAAAATTTACAAAAATTTACAAAATTTATGAAAATTGTAAAAAATTTACTATAAAGGGCAATAACTCCTTAAGGGGTCAATTGACAATTTTGGTCATCTTGACTAATTAGTAGATCTAACTTTGCTGTACATTATTGCTGTTTACAGTTTATCTCGATCTATAATAATATTCAAGATAATAACCAAACGCTGCAAAATTTTCTTAAAATTACCAATTCAGGGGCAGCAACCCAACAACATGTTGCCTGATTGGTCTGAAAATTTCAGGGCAGATAGATCTTGACCTAATGAACAATTTTATACCATCAGATTTGCTCTAAATGCTTTGGTTTCAGAGATATGAGCCAAAAACTGCATTTTACCCTATGTATTATTTTTTTGCCATGTCGGCCATCTTGGTTTGCGGGCAGGGTCATCGGACACATTTTTTAAACTAGATACCCTAATGATGATTGTGGACAATTTTGGTTAAATTTGTCTTAGTAGTTTCAGAGGAGAAGATTTTTGTAAAAGATTACAAAAATTTACGAAAAATGGTTAAAAATTGACTATAAAGGGCAATAACTCCTTAAGGGGTCAACTGACCATTTTGGTCAAGTTGACTTATTTGTAGATCATACTTTGCTGAACATTATTGCTGTTTATAGTTTATCTCTATCTATAATAATATTCAAGATAATAACCAAAAACGGCAAAATTTCCTTAAAATTACCAATTCAGGGGCAGCAACCCAACAACGGGTTGTCCGATTCATCTGAAAATTTCAGGGCAGATAGATCTTGACCTGATAAACAATTTTATCCCATGTCAGATCTACTCTAAATTCTTTGGTTTCAGTGATATAAGCCAAAATCTACATTTTACCCCTATGTTCTATTTTTAGCCATGGCGGCCATCTTGGTTGGTTGGCGGGGTCATCGGACACATTTTTTAAACTAGATACCCCAATGATGATTGTGGCCAAGTTTGGTCAAATTTGGCCCAGTAGTTTCAGAGGAGAAGATTTTTGTAAAAGTTTACGGACGACGGACGACGGACGCAGGACGACGGACGACGGACGCAAAGTGATGAGAAAAGCTCACTTGACCTTTCAGGTCAGGTGAGCTAAAAATCAGTTCCTCAAAATACATGTACCACCTGCACCTTAATTTTCAGTGATATTTTTATATGACTTTTAGAAGTTAACTAAAATAGTTCACTGTTATGTATAAGTAATAATTGTAAACCCGGATGCAAAATATCTCGAGGTGGAGTGCATGTAAGGCGTTCCATTACAACAAGAACTAAAATATCCTAGAAAACTAAACCGAATCTTGCATAAACCGAGAACCTGTCTAAACCAAACATGTCCTGAAATCCAGCCAAATAAAATTGTATGCTTTGTGACCCTGATTAAACCAAAATCTTCGCTTTGCACAGGTTTCACTGTATAGCAGATCCAAAGGCACTGAATAAATAATACCTGTTTGAATACCTGTTTGAAGCTTTTTTGCTCCCTGCAAGACCATCTAGAAATTCCAAATTGCTGCCAATTATGAAACAACGCCGAGCTTAAAACTACCATTGAGATTTTTAACTGTTAAAAATCAACAAAACTAGACTGTGCTGCTCTTGGTAACCTGTTCTCATCTTAATAGGTTTAATGTTTGATTTCTTTGCCAGATTTTTGTTATTTATATTAGTCCATGGCTTTCTTCTTCAATTCACAGTTGTGGCGAGATTATCAATTTTCATGAAATCAGCTCAAACCGGTGGTAGGGACCGTCTTAAACTTGAAGTGAAGTGTCAGTGGTTTTTTTTTTTGGTTCGTGTTGAATGCCTCATTGTAACGTTGAGATGAGGAACAGCAATAAAAGCGTTGTTCCTTTGTTTTTTGTGTTTTTGCTGTGCATATACTGATTTTTTGTCAAGGATTGATATCCCATATCCTTTCTGTTCTATTAATAGTGAACTTTCATTGACAGATGTTTAATTGAAATTACGTGATTTCAATGGTATTTTTAAATGTGGTATATTTTGTAAAAACAACAAATATAATCATGTTAATTGAAAACGTAACACTGAACATTTTATTTACAACAAAACAGTTAATGACATTTTATAACATCTAAGACCAAAGGGTGGTCCTGCATCACAGCCCATTTTGATCTAAGTTCATGAATATTTTTAGCAACACTTTCCAAGTTTCTTAAAGAGGTCATAATATCAAAAAGCTGCCAAAGTCTTTGCTCGGGATTGTCATAAGATTTCTTTAAAAGACTTCTCAAAAAACCGATTAATTTCCATTGGATTTCTTCTACTTTTGCTGGATTTTCCAAATCACAACGATCTGAAATTAAAAATAAACTCAATATACATTGTTTATAACTTTCATCATGAGAATTTAGATAAAACAACAGTTTGCTACAAAAGTACTCAAGAGTGTATTTCCGATTCCCAAAACAATTATGTTTTTCTAATATTAAATAAGTGCAGGGGGTTTGTTTGTAAACAGAAGAAAATGTGTAGTGAATTTGGCTGTATGAGAAAACCTCCCTTCTAACCAATAAAAAAGTGAGTGAAAAATGTAGGTCTTCTTCTCTCTATTGGTTTAATGTCTGACATTCTAACTGGACAAATCATGTCTCTCATTTTGTTTCTAGTTTAATTCTAAGAGTTACCTCTCATTTATTGAGAAAAAAATGTTTTTAAAGATGTCTATTATTATACTTGTGCTAGAAAATTTGTTTCTTGGTGTCAACAGTTAGTTCAAATGATAAAATGTTATTTACATAAGATTAATTTGTTTATTTTCTTAGACCCCTTTAGGTCATACAGCTCTCCATGTGTCTGGGTATTATACATCCTCTGTTTTATTGTTTGTGGTAAAGGCGTTCCCGATGAAGATAAATTCAGAAAATCTCTTCTAAAGCATCATTTTCATATTTTTTTTAAACGTACATTTTTGTAGGTATTGTTGACTCTACTGCTATGTGTCAATATCCTAACAATTTCGATAATTGTAATTTATATCAATTTTTTTAAAACATATTTACCTCCAGCTGTCAAGGTAATTGCTCTCAGAAGGGTGACTTCTTCGATTGTCATGTTACATTTCTGTAGTTTAGTGGTCACCTGACATATTTCATCCAGATAATCTTTATGCATTAATCCAAGGAGTTCATCAAAGTGGGCGTTAACTGAACCACAGACCACTTGTAATTCTAAATTAATTCTTTTATGTGCTGCTAAAAACCAATAGTCAGAAAAACATGCTGAAAATAAAAAAATAAACTTTTGTTTTATATGGTCATTCTTACAAGTTATCAACTGTGATGCACTTTATATAGGTAGATAGCAGTTTTTAAAAAAATGCAGATAATAAACAATGATAGCAAAATCGATCTTCATCAGACTCCATGCAGATCTAAAATTATGTCAACTGCTTAAGGTGGTACCAAACACCTTGACTAAAATTAATTTGGCTCGTTTAATTTTCATAAAATTTCGACAGAATATTTACTTTGACCCTTTGACATAAATATAAAATTTTCAAAAAACTTGAACCACACACTTTATCGGAAAAATTTCATTGGATATATAGCAGTTTGACAAACACTAATTTTGATCATTGAGAAGCTTAATATTTCCCTAACAATAGAACGTGATAAAAACGTTCAGCTGATTTTTACAGAGTTGTCTCTTTGTAGTGTTATCATGGTTATGTACCACCTTAATATTTTATTATGTTTTGTTGTTGGTTGACTTTCTCGGGCGTACCTAAATCGACTAGTCTTACAACCTTCAGCAGGAAAACTGACTGGCAAGCTAAGTTAATTTAGATTGGAGTCGAACGCACCTTGCCAAAGCGAGGTTCGAACTCAAAACCTTATTATTTAGAAAATAACTTCTTACTTACTTTTAATTAGTTGAAGCTGGTCTTTGGTTGACAGCTGAGAATAACCTGGAATAAGTCTGACAAATTCTACAATGTTGCGAATATTTTTCTCCATGCTGGTAGCTATCTTTCCCATTTTTTCAAAACGATTTCCGAGATCCAAACCAGTCTCGTTATAAACTTCTTCATAAACATCGTAAGGAAGAGATTTCATTTGTCCAAACATTTCTTGCTTTTCTTTATATTTTAACTAAAATATAAATATAAAAAAAAATACTATTAAGAACATTGCCGTGTGCTAAGAAGACAAGCAGGAAGATAATTGTATTTTCTTAAACTTTTAGATGATTATGTTGACTGTGTCCACCGTAGAACATAACTTATACGATCTTAAGGAAAAGCATCGTCCAAGGGGTTATTTTCATTTTTTTTATCGTAGCCGTTTCACAGATGAAACATCCCTTCTTCAACAAACAAACAAAAATTACGTGCACTGATCCTTTAAACACTTGAACTTAAGTGCATTTGTAATTCGCTAGTTGTTCTTTAAATTAAATGGAATCAAATCAGAAAAGGACTATGTTTCTATAAAATGAAAGTTCATCTAGGATATTATATAATGTGTTGTTTGTTAAATTTGAGATGCATGTGAATTATAGGATAAACTTCATCTAATCAACGTAATTGGTGCTACTATTATTAAAATATTTGACACATACATTGCATGTGTAAACAATTCTGGATACATTTTGTTTTCCTATTTAACATGTTTTCTCGTACCGTTAATGTTATAACTACCAATGGGTCGATAATCTGCTGTTGGACTGTTAGTCCCCGATGTTATCACTAGCCCATTTGCCAGTACAAGAAACGAATACTTTTTTTTTATTGAAATTTGCTGTTATAAAAATTTGAAAATCATTTAAAGGTCCTTTGTAGTTTAAGCAGCTCTTAAACGTTAGTGTTAGATTTTGGTATTTCTTTTCACAGTTGGAGGAATCCGGAGAGAATCACCGATTTTGGGCAGGGAAACTGTCAATCTTAATTAATTAAGATTGGAGTCGAACGCTCCTTGCGGCCAAAGCGAACTTCAGATATTTTGGTCTCGAGACATTAATTGTTGAAATGCGCATTTGTTGCGGTAAAATTTGTACCTTTATTATTATTATTTACTAAATAGCATGCCTTATACAGAGACTTATATTCGTTTGGCCATGTATGTCTCTGTTTGTATGTACGTGTATGTACGTGTATATATTGCTATATGTACGTTTCTCACGATAGAAAAGGACAAATAATTACAAATCAAATGTACCTTAACATTTAAAGTATTTGTTTCAAAAATGTATTTGACCCCTGGGTATTTTTTTGTATGAACGTGTGAATGTGAATTTAAATCTCGTATTTTCACGTTTGGCTTCACAAATAAAAAAAATACATTCTTTTATTATATAAATCCTTTAAGAATATATTAGCCGCTTTATTGTTGACGCATGTTCTCAAATGACAATCCTTTTTTAGTTTTAAATTCATATGCCGATTGTATACATGTATAAGCCTTTGGCATTTGATTTACGTACACAAAATGAAATTAGTCTGTATTTCGAGTACATACAAATACATGTGTATTTTTTTAAGTATTTTATTATGTAACGCCAGGTTTTATAAAAAAAAACTTAAGCAGATTTATCTTAAACTTCAAAACATAAAATTATTTTTATTTGTATTTCGAATACATGCAAGTACATGTATTTTTTGTAAGTTATTTATTATGTAACGCCAGGTTTTATAAAAAAAAGAAGCTATAAAGTAGGTTTATCTAAAACATCAAAACATATAATTATTTATGGTCATGGTTAATAAAATTTATGGTATTTCTTTGATAGAAATGTTTACATTTTTGGTCTATTTATTAATGCATAATTATGTATTTTGCAATACAAAAAAATAATAGTGGCTTAGCGTACTTTTATGCAATTTAAACATCAAAATATGCAAATAATAAAAATGTTCAAAACATACTTTTTGTAGTAATTTATTCAGCATATCTGTGAAATGCTAATCAAATTTCAATATTGAATGTTATAAATGTGTGTATACATGTAGCTGCAACCGACCAGAAAATATATGTTTAAATACCTATTAAATTAAAAGTTATAGAAAGCATGAACAATTTGGCCCTGAACTTTTGAAATTACTAGAATTATTACGCAGTTATAGCAAATTTAAAACCAATAACTTAGTATCAATGATTTATCAAACTTTATATTGAATTCTGCAAATGAAAAGAAACGGTTGGCTGCATATTCTACTGTATAGTGTAACTTGTAATTTAATCACATTGCCTTGCACTAACCAGTGTTATAATAATTCTACATAGTTCAAGTGGGGTCCAGGGTTTTGAAAAAGGGTGAGAGTCCTATATTAAATTCATTCTAATTTAAAAAGAGAAAAATGACAAAATGCCTACAGATGCAATCACCATATTTGCTTCTTCAGGAAGTCCTACCATTAAAATCTTTGGTCTCAGTAAGAAGGGCCAACGATTTGAATAGTGGGACTTGCTAAAAAAAAATCTAGCTTAGACTACCATTAATTTACATGTGAGTTGACGAAACAAATATAAATTTATGTAATTTTCTTGATAATGATTATGCAAAGTATGGAGAGAACCGATAAAAAGAGGATGGTGCCGTCTGCATGTTAAACATACAACGAACAATCTTATAAACATCTTCAGGATGAAAAAAATGATATACGAATTTGAGCTCTGCTAGATGATTGATTGACAACCTTTTTCTTTACATCCAGATTTGCACATGCTAGCTTACATAGCAGTCTTCAGGAGAATATATCAATTGGTCAGACGTATAAGTGACCTTGAGCCAAGGTCTACTCTTTGTTCTTCAGTCTTGGATGTCCTAGGCCTTAGCAAAACAATTTAAAACTCTTCATTTTTTTGTTCAATGATAGTTTCAAGACCCAAAACACATCCTAAATCTTATAATACAAACCACGAAATGGTTGCAGCAGATTTTAAACAAACTGAACATCATTGAAACTTACAAATATCTCTTTTTGTTGTTCAAGTAAGGTGTTTGGTTCGAAACTTTTCCTGAAATCTGGGACCAACTTCTCCTGTATTTTAATGAGACTTTCTATGAATTCCAAAAGTTCCGTTTCATTTCCACACAAATCCGAATCATTATTATTCGTTAGGTCCTTGTTACGGAGTTGTATTACTTCTTTTGTATCTCTGAACTTTTTCTCGTATGTGTAACGTCCGGTCTTGATAGCTGAAATGATAATAACAAAAATTGTATACATTCCTGTGTTCCACACAATTCGAATTCACAATGTTGTGTGCACGGTCTGCAATACCTAATGACAAATTAAAGGAAGCTAGCCGAAGAAGAATCGGTCTGAGACTTAAAAATACACTTTTTACTAAAGGTTCAAGTGATTTCCTATTGAAATTCCAAATGAGCAGATGGCATGGTGATGTAGCCCCGCCTAGTGATCAACTAAATATTTCAGCAACTGAATGGTAAGGTAATTGGAACTAGCAATTTCCAATATTGGCAAGTTAAGGTTCGGAGGAAAATCAAAGAACCTTCGATTTTTTTCAATTCCGCTGCAAATGTAAAGTTCCATCAGACGTTTTCAAAAGGATATGCCAGATAATCATTCAGATCCGAGGTTTGAACCCTTGACTTGCCATATCTCGAAAACCCATCTCAAGTACCAGACACCTCCAGAACCTTAGAAGACCAGCTTTCTTATACTTTGTTTTAACCCATTCTGGCTACTCATGCAAGCTTCCAAAACCCACTAAAACGTGAACTGTCCATTTTAGGACTACAATAAAATAACAGACTATGTACACGGCGGTGCATAGATGATAAGGTTATTATAAAAAAAGTAAGAAGATGTGTAATGATTGTCAATGAGACAACTCTCCACCAGAGACTAAATGATATAGAAGTTGAATGTCCTATGTCTGTTTATTTTTTTAATGTTTGCGTCAAGTGAAATTTAGGTCAGATCAGGAAGTACTTATACTGTACACAAAGCAACCCACTTGTAATCTGAACATGACATACAGTTTCACACCATTTTTAACAACTTAATCATTTCTGTTTAATGAATTTATCAAGCAGAGTAATCTTCACATTAGTATATCTAATTTTAAACCAAATTATAATGTTTCTGTAAAGCATTCATGCATGCAGTTTTACCCACCAACCTTTGAATATTATATTTTCTAATTAATTTAGGTAATACCAATTGTACCACAAAAGCTTTACATTTAAAGAGTACAATAATTAAAGTATTTCGCATCATCCTATCAAATAAGAAGTTTTAGGGAAAACACTGGGAAATACTACTGAAGTTCAAAATTTAAACATTTTATGTTCCCTAAAACTCCTAAGTTCTCGATTAAATCAAAATATCCCTTTCTCATTTGGTTCTAATGACAGTTTAAGGTCTATAATTATAATAGCTGATTATTATTAAAATATGTTAAAAAATCAAAAATAAAAATTCTGAAATATTTCAAGTGAAAATGAACGCTGAATGAAAGAAAAAGATAACTTTGGCCTAGAATTAAATCGACAAGACTTCTGTACTATTCCGCACGGATTAAATTGTTGACTCCAGATAACAATGGATTTTAATTAACACGTCTTAGTAATTAAAGGTTTTGTAATAATATGAATGGTGTGAATAATTGATAAATTGACCATAAAATACCCTTACAATGAATAATTTATCAAATCTTCCATTAATTATTAATTCATCCGAAAGGGAATATTGACCAATTAACCTTCATAGGAGGTGGGAAATTTAGTATTTTCAGGTAAATTGTTAATTCATATTTCATGTGTATCCGTTCTGAGCGGCTGTGTTTAGTTCAAATACGTAAAAATTAAATGAACAATCCAACAACAAAAAAAGTGTATGCGCAGCTCTTCGAACTTTTATTTTACTCTACTCTGACACAAATCCCCTTTACAGACCCTCTTTATAAAATTTCTTTTAAAGTTCTGTTATGTTGCATGATATCCATAGAAAGACGCAAAGGGAAAAATTTAAGGCTTGAACTGTTGGTTTTTGCATTGAACATATTTTGCAAATAACAGAATATTTCAACTCGAATACAAGTGAAATGAGTGCATGTATACATGTAGGACTAGGGTACTTCTTGACATTCGTGGGAATGACTTTTTTGAACGCGATGTAAACAAATTGGATTCTTACAACAGCAAAAGTTAAAAGTTGTTCTGTCATAGATAGTATTTATTCAAAACTTGAAAAAAAGAACTCTATAAGCTATGGCCCCTTTTGATTCATGAGGGTTCCTAAATCGCTTTTAAGGCGTTGTTGCCTTTTATAGCTGACTATACAGTATGTTCTTTTTCATTGTTGAAGGACGTACGGTGACCTCTTATTGATTATATCTTTGTTACTTGAACTCTGGTGAAAAGCGTCTCATGGCAACTATACCACATCTCCTTATCTTTATTTTAAAAAGAATGTTGTACAGATCTGTATGTAGTGATTAATAATATAAAGTAAAGGGTCCAACGTCTCTCGCTTGTCTTACTATTGTTCCATGAAAGAAAGTTCCAAGAGGTGATGAAAGAGATTCGTACCTTCTTGTGACATTCCAATATCTAAGCATTTCTTGTATCTGCAGAAGGCACACATTGCCCTTCTTCCGGGACCAATGGGACAGTTTTTATCCTTGCTGCATTTGTAGGTTTCTTTCTTTTTGATTATCTTTACAATGCTTCTTCTAAAGAATCCCTATAAAAATGAACAAAAATGTCAGTTTTAAAACCAATGCAGATCGAAGTGTAAATGTTAATCAAATAAGTTTGATCGATTGATTGATTGATTGATTGATTACGTCAGTGATTGACTGAAGATAAAAGATCAGTATATAATGAGACTACTGTATTTAAATGCAGAATAATATTGATTGATTGATTGTAGATTGGTAAACGCCCAGTGGCCAGAATTTCATGCATATTCAAGTTCCATCTTGTAAGTATTGAGAAAGGGTTTCCAAAGCTTACTTAATTTGTAGATTGGTAGATGCCCAGTGGCCAGTATTTCATGCATATTCAAGTTCCATCTTGTAAGTAGTGAGAAAGGGTTTCCAATGCTTACTTAAGTTAAGTATATATATATATATATATATATATGTCAGTGTTGTATAGAAAATATTCTAAAAAACTGATATTCAGCAAACCCGATCTCTTTCAGATAATTCACTGTTTTAGCATGTGATTTCTGGTTAGATTATTGTGTATTTGCGTTTGCGATAGTTATTTCGCTTTTTTGACAAACCCCGCCCATTTTGCGTTACAGAAATCGATCCTCATGTCAGATTGTCATACGTCTCTTAGCATCTTTTATAACACTTAAGTGTCTAATTAAAATTAAGAAGGTTTCTTTTAATGATAGAAATATGTTACTTCCATGGTATTTCATTTTTCATTTCCAAGAAAATGTGTTATATGATTAATATGTAACTTAGCAACGCTAAACACAGGTACAAAATGTATTAAAAATCAATTGCTTGTCCGTATACTTCAACCACAGTATTGTGTTCCCTTATTACATGTAGCAGAAGAGCAACACGTTTATTATTACTGGTGAAAACATATATAAGATCAATATTTGATACATGGTTAAGCTTGATCATGATTCAATCGGTACCTATTGTAAAGTGTACATATATTGATATATAATTCGTCTTGGCCGAAAGGAGAAAAAGACAAATACGAATTAGTGCAATTGCACCCAATTTTCAAAAGTGGGCACCACTTTGTACATATCCCTCCAACCCCTTTCTGACAAAATTTAATGCAAATAAACAATGAAAATAATAGAGAAGACTGATCAACTATACTAGACTATTAGACTAGAAGGGTTGTTTGTCATTTTCAGATCCCCCCTCCCCTCTTTTTATTCTATTTCTAGGCCACTTAAACATGAGGACAGATACTATGCATGCATAATGCATTGTACGTACTGGTATCGTAATCGCTGTTTTTTCCCAGAGTATGCATAAGATATTTGCCACTAGACACAAGTTTACAACTACCAATCAATCAATTACCGTTTAATACCTATGTACAACCATTACACGCAAAAATCGTGTTGCATATAAGTTAATGATGGCACTAAGAAGCTACGAAATTCTTTTTTTTTTATCTTCGAAAAAATAAAATATATGCATGTACATGTATGTATGTACTATCATTAAAAATGGACTTTAAATGATAAAAGATAACTAGTTATTTGGGTCGCCATTTTGTGTAAATAAAACATCGAATGATAGTCCATAATGCAAAGGTCTGAAATTAATCATGTTCGTCAAAATTGTACTTAAAAATACTGAATTAAACATAAAATACACTGGGCTAATGAACTTTACAGTATAAGATAGTCCCAATTTTTTTTTTAATTGGAGTACTCAAATCAATATTTCGAAAAGTAACAAATAACAAACAACGGAAATAATAATAATAACAACAACATCAAATCAAACAAACGAAACGAACAACAAGAAAAACAAAGAAAAACAAAACATTTAAGCAAATATATTTATACTTATTGGTACCTACCTTGCAAGCTTCGCACGTGTTAGCACCGTAATGGAACCCGGATGCTTTCTGTCCACAAACTCTGCAAGGAGGTAGAAACGGGTCTGACGGATTAGCCGCCTTGTTTGATTTTTTGCTGTCATCAAGTTCACCTCTTTGGTTTTCACTTGAACTGCAAGTTTGCATACTACAATCATCAAACTCCATTTCATTTTTAATAATCTGCTCTTGGTAACCATTTTGGTCATGGTAGAGGCTTATTGACTGATCCATGATGCCACTCTGAGGACAATACTCGGGGCTACTCCCAGAGGACTGATTATCGTAAACTTGCATATATTCCACAGGACTGGTATTCCCTGAGGAGCTGTAGCTTGAAGAAGAGTAAGAATCCAAATCTGTTAAATCGGCAAATTCGTTCACATCGACTTCTTCGCAAATGACACTATGAGCCACATTTTCACCAGTAACAGCAAAATCACAGAATTTTAAAAAATCCATTCTGTAAAGAAGAGATAAAAATATAGAAGTGACTTGTCGGACAACTTAATCTCTTTTAAATCCCATATACGCTTTACTAAGCATTTATTGTTCAAATAAAATATTGTCGATTTAAAAATAGTTTATCATGTGTTCGGTTAACCGTTTACTGAATTACACATTAAAATATTGGGTTAACCTAATAGCACAATACACTACGTAAAGTATGTTGTGACGTCAATCGGATGATCCACAATCATGTGAGAGAAATGAATTGCGAAATCTACACTTTAAATAGCTGATTCAAGGTAGTAATACATTTCATTGATCAATCAGTTCAATCTGTTTGTAATTGTCTCAACATGGTTACGGCTTGCGGGAGGGAAATCAATGGCCAAGTAGCCCCATGGAACAATAACATCGTGTGGCCGTTGTCAAAATAGTCTTTTGATACCTATTATGACGTCAACAATCGATTCATTGATTTTTATTAACAGAGAATGAATTACTTAAAAATATGTTAAAACAGGTACACGTTTGCCATAACGGTTTAAATAATAGTGATTAAGTTATGTAATATATAATTTAAAATGTTACCCCTAGCGTATTTTTGTTTATCCAAGCATTTCATTAACGTCTATTTCGTTTAAAAATAGTAAAATATTACATTATTACTTATCCAAAATAAAATTAAACATCTTCCGTTAAATCAGTTAATTTAATAGTACATGTATTAATAAAACCTCGGTGTTATGCATAAATTAAACTATTATGATGTAAATAAAAACTTTTCAAAATATTTGAGACTTACACATTTTAAACTGATAATGATAGTATTTTAGGATGTAATTTAACAGTGCATTCTATACATTACAGAATATTCATTGCTGAGAATAGTTTGACCGGTTTATACTTTATAAGTGCATACATTTATCAAAATGTTTTAAAAGCTGTGTTCAGTGGTTGTTTGTTAACACATATGTCTACCCCAAGAATAGATAATCTTAGCTGTATTTGACAAAACCGTTCGGAATTTCGTGTCCTCAATGCACTCAACTTCGTACTTTATTTGGCCTTTTTAACTTTTTTTATTCGAGCGTTACTGATGAGTCTTTTGTAGACGAATCGCACTTCTGGCGTATAAAAAAATTTAATTCTGGTCTCTATGATGAGTTGATGAATATGCTTTGTCATACATTTGGCCAATCTCATTGTGTTTTAACTTAAAGAAAATAATTTGGTAAATGTTGACCCCAAAGATTGACTGGGGTGTAGAAATATGGCCCTCCCTCCCTTGGTTTCTTCTGACCAGCAGTAAAACCCTTGCAGGAGTGGACCGTCCGTATAACTCTTCAGTATGTATAAATTCGCAGCCACGTCCGATCAGAATAAGGACGTTAAATCCGATGCCTCGTGTAGAGAGATTGTCACACTCTATACACGTTAAAGAAACATTGATTTAACTCTTTGGGGGATTCGTTAGTTGCATGTTGCAAGGCTAAATTTCTGTTACTATTCAATATACCATCATTTTCCATTGGCATTCCAAAGTACCCGACTATCATCCCGTTCGTCCCCTAATTCAGGACCCAAATTATTGTAGTTGTAGTTAAGTCCTGAACATGCATGACATATTTACCACTGGACCTTAAGCAAACAACAATCAATCTATTTATATTTACCATAAAACGGATTTAACTAAAAAGAGAATGTTTCTTAAACCGTGAAAAAAATGCATTGAGTGTGTGATTTTTTAATATCTATAATTTTAGGAAAATAGAAAATAGAAAAAAAAACGACGTTTAGGTTATTACGAAGTATTAAATATTCTCAATAAGATAAGTTCATTCGAATATCCTGCTAATTAATAAAAAAAAAATATGGGATTTATAATTAATCCTATTATTATTATTTCTATTAACGCGTGTCTTATCAGTAATTAAAATTTGTATTGTTTAATCAGTGCCAAATACGTCATACATGTACATCATAATTAATACGGATTCATAACGAAAAAATATTTTTGTTTGGCATTTTGAATTAGTAAAACAACAACTTATCACTAAGAATGAAACTTTACCTTGGCACATAAATATGAAGGTACATCATTACTTAGTTAAAAATATGTAAAAAGGCATATCTTGAAATAACAACACAGTTATTCCGAGGAGAAATAGAATTATCGAAACATTTTTTTTTTTAAATTACCAAACAGTGCCATAATATACAAACAGCAATTTTATGCCTAATGGCAGAAAGGCAATTTTCAAATAATTGTTTTTTTAAATTCACATATTTAAACGATATTATTTGACCTCAATTATTGAATACCCAGTGGAATATATTTCATGTATATATCTAGGTCGAGAGGAAATTATGTACAGTGAATCAATTTAAAAGGCGTGCAAAAAAAAACGTGCAATAAATTTTAAGTTCACGTAGTAAACTAAAGGAATATTGACAATCTATGAAAATCAGTAATACGACAGGAAATATTAATAATTAACAATTCTTTATTGCCATATAAGTAAACAAGATACTTATGACAAAAACAAATAATAAACAACAACAAAAAATAAACTGTTTAGAATACATACTAATATAATAATAATAATTTATTTTATTATAAAGTGTATACATATTTGTTTACAAAGTGAACACTATATACAATCACAAATAACCAAGACTCCCTGTCCTCAGTTCTAAACACATTTTTTGATAATGGAACTTGTTTTTTTTTTTCTCACTTGGTTTTAGCAGTACTAGTTTTTTATCGACCGTGCGAGACACTAATATGATGGGTAGTCAAGGTCGTTAACAAAAACCTTAGATCTAGTTTTTCAGTATCAGAAATATTTAGAAATATAGGAATTAGCTGTTGATTCAGAAACATAAACTAATTTATGCTCTGAAATATGGATAAGAAGTCGAATTTTTATTTCACGAGAAAAACTTTGTTATCTGTTTAAATCCGAATCGGGTTTTTTTTTTTTTTTCTCTCAGCCTGTAATACAGGCTTACTTCTCAGGGACGCAATGCAGATATCGGGCCAAGATCCAGTGTTGCATGGTTTATAAAGAACGTCTTATTCATGTTTACCAAATGAACTTCTATTCAACAGTTTAGTTTTTGATCGAATGACAGATTGAAATTACGTAATATATTGCTCATTGTTAAATCTCGTTATCAGATATCTTATGGACCATGTGCATGTTGCGCAATAATGCACTTCAAGTTATCTATGTTATTGACAATCTTATTAAAATATTCATGTCAGTACACAGCAATCTGCATGCCACAATATCGTTTATTGTCTATGTTTTTAATATTCACGATAATCAGATATGTACTAAATTTGCATGGTTTTAATCCTTGCGTATTTTACTTCTTCGGTGGTCTCGTGGTATCGGCCTCGCCTTAAGAACGAAATGTCACCGGTTGGACCGCACCGAATAAGTAAATTCAAAGACAATAACATTGGTATTAGTTCCTACAAAGATGAAGCTCACAGCATTTAGGAATAAGAGCAAAGACAGGTCGACCCAGAGTCAGAATAATGTGCTCAAATAGGGTGATGTGTCTACCTGCGGTCTGTTTAATGTGGGCATGCATGCACGTTAAAATCTTATTAGATGTATTTGGTCGAGATCAGTGCAAAGTACCGGTATAAGCATATCTCAATGACTTAAATAATATTTACTATATGCATGAAAACATGTTTAACCCCGCCACATTCTATATGTGCATGTCCCAAGTCTGGAGCTTGTGATTGAGTGTTTGTTGCTGTTGATCATAACATGCGTAATTTGTTTATTGTTTTGTACAGTTGTTGTAGTGTTTTGTTGCACCACTGACCCATGATTAAGTGGAGGTTGAGATCCTGCTAACATGTTTAACCCCGCCGCATTTTTGCGCCTGTCCCAAGTCAGGAGCCTCTGGCCTTTGTTAGTCTTGTATGTTTTTTAATTTTAGTTCATTTATATATTTTGGAGTTTAGTGTGACGTCCATTTTCACTGAACTAGTACACAATTTTATTTAGAGGCCCGCTGAAGACCACCTCTGGGTGCGGGATTTTCTCGCTGCATTGAAGACCCATTGGTGGCCTTCGGCTGTTTTCTGCTCTTTGGTCGGGTTGTTGTCTCCTTGACATATTTCTCATTTCCATTTTCAATTGTATGTAATATTAACCACTGGACGTGAAGCATCAATTAACCGATCACTCTCAAAGAGACGTCAAGGTTTTCGGGATTTCGCCTATACATCTTATAATATGTCTTTAAAATCAGGAGATGTGGTATGATTGTGACAATAAGACAACTACCCACCAATGTCCAAATGACGCAGATGTAAGCAACTGCAGGTCACCGGTACGGCCTTGGTCCCGACTTTACTACAACATGTAAAACGAAGAAAAAAAAAGGGGGGCCTGATTTATGACAAAACTATAATAGTATTGCAGATAGCAACTAACGACAACAATTGAATTATAGGATCCTGACAGCAACTTACGACAACCATTGAATTATAGGATCCTGACAGCAACTAACGACAACCATTGCATTATAGGATCCTGACTTGGAACATGCACACATAGAATGTGGCGGGGTTAAACAGTCATTTTTTTAGTACTCAATCCTAACCGAAGACAGTGATGTAGCAGAACAACATAAGAACAAACTGTACAAATGATTTTGAAATGGATTGACTCAACAGACTGACACGGAACCCAAAAACAACTAACATTCAGACAAAAACAGAAAGTACCGACCAAAGAATACTCACAGTTACTGAAAGCTAGTTCAAGGCAATAAGAGAACCTTTTAAATTCAAAATAATTAAATTGCTTAATTGATTCAATCAGCTGGATCCATGATAAATACGCAAATGAGCAAAATACCTCTTATTTTTAGCTTTGCAGAAGTTCATTGAGTTAGTGTCAGGTGAGTTACCCATGTTCCTTAGCGACTCGAGTTTTGATTCACTATGCATGCATGCTTTATTTGAAGTTCTAAGTTCGAATT